ACCATGTTACACTCCAGCTGTTCTGAGGAAAACTCCATTCCAATGACAGTCATAACTAGTAAGCTGCCTTGTTGACTGTAATTTTTTAAAAGGCTTTCAGTTATGAGATTAAAGCATAATTGGGTAAGTCACTGACATGGGTGTTTGCATGTAATCGGTAAAGTCTTGGGTTTGGCACCATCCATCATTTCAACTTTGTACAACAGTTAGAAGGATTTATCTAGAAAGTTTGGAGGTTGTTCTCTAATCATCCCATATGCTCTTTTAAAATGATACAATCTTCAGTTTGATGTCAAATCTCAAGCCAGAGAAGCCTGGTATTTGTTTAAAGGCCACCCCTGGGGCAACTTCCTCCTTTTCAGATAGCTCATGGAGAGCAGGATGCCTGGCAAGGCTCCTAGGAACACCTCCATCCCAAATCTTCTCAGGTGCGTCTGACTCTGCTCCTGCAACTGTTTTCCAAAAGAAACTTCTAGGCCTGGGAAATATGTTTTTAAAAAGGGAGAAACTAAAATGTAAACCCTAAAATCATAAAACCTTCAGAAGAAAACAGATGAAACTCTTTGTGACCTTGGGTTAGTCAAAGATTTCTTAGATATGACACCAAAAGCCCAACCTATAAAAGAAAACTTTAATAACTTGGGACTTTATGACAATGAAAACCTTCTGCTTTTCAAAAGAGGGGAAAAGAGAAGCCAGAGAGAATGGAGAGAAAAGAAATGAAAAGACAAGCCAAAGAACAGGAGAAAGTATTTACAAATCACAAACCTGGTAAAGGATTTGTATCAAAAAAAAAAAAAAAACACCTCTCAAAACTCAGTAATAAGAAACCAAACAACCCAATTAAAAATGGGCAAAAGATATGAACAGACACTTCACCAAAGAAGTTATGCAGACAGCAAGCATGCACATGAAAAGATGCTCAACAGCATTTGTCATTAGGGAAATTCATATTAAAACCACAATGAAATACCACTACACACCTATTAGCATACCTAAAAAACAAAACAAAAAAACTAACAATATCAAGTGCTGGCAAGCACATAAGAAACAGAATTGCCAGGCACAGTGGCTCACACCTGATATCCCAGCAATTTGGGAGGCCAAGGCGGGTAGATTATCTGAGGTCAGGAGTTAGAGATCAGCCTGACCAACATGGCAAAACCCCATTTTTATTAAATATTAAAAATTAGCTGGGCGTGGTGGCGCATGCCTGTGATCCCAGCTACTTGGGAGACTGAGGCAGGAGAATCGCTTGAACCCGGGAGGCAAAGGTTGCATAGAGCCGAGACTGCACATTGCACTCCAGCCTGGGCAACAAGAGCAAAATTCCGTCTTTAAAAAAAAAAGAAAGAAAAGAAAAAATGAAAAAGAATTCTCATATATTGCTGGTAAGAATGCAAAGTGGTATAACCACTTTGGAAAACTGGCAGTTCTTTATAAAGTTAAATATACATTTACCATATGATCCAGCAACCCTATTCCTAGAAATCTACGCAAGTGAAATGGAAACAATGGCCATACAAAAGCCTGTAGGCAAATAGAGCATTATTCATATTGCCAAAAGCAGGAAACAACCCAAATATTCTTCAACTGGTTAGTGGATAAACAAACTGTGGTACATCTATACAACAGAATACTACTCTGCAACAAAAGGGAATGACCACTGACACACATAACAATATGGACGACCCTCAAATGCATTTTCATGCTAAGTGAAAGATGCTAGACTTAAAATGATTCCATTTGTATGACATTCTGGAAAACCAAAAACTATAAAGAGACAATACAGGTTAATGGTTGCCAGGGTCTGAGGATAGGGAAGAGGAAGTGACTACAGGGGACACACGGGAGTTTTCTGGGGTGATGGAACTGTTCTATATGTCTTGACTGTGGTGGTGGTGGTTACATGACTATATGTGTAGCGTGCAGAACTGTACACTAAAAAGGGCAGATTTTACTGTATGTAAGTATATGTCAGTAGGGAAAAAAGTGATTTTAGCTATTGTAAGATTCTAGTGATAGCATATAAAATGGTAAAATGTGCCCTTTCACAGAAATGGTGAAAAGAGGACTGAAGAGTTGATTGAGCCCACAAGCAGGAAAACAAATGCAAGTCAAAGCAATAATAAAACACAATTTCCAATCTATCATATCAACAAAGATTAAAGAAAACCCACTAAGTCTCAATGTGGTGAGAAGCAGTAAAAATGCACTATTGTTCCCTGCTTAGGCTAACCTTTCTGGAAAATTCAGTCATGTGCTGCACTAACGAAGTTTTGGCCAATGATGGGCCCCATATCTGACAGTAGTCCCATAAGATTCCAATACCGTATTTTTATTTTACTTTTCTATGTTTAGGTATACAAATATGCAACACTGTATTCCAACTGCCTATAGTACTCGGCACAGTCACATGCTGTACAGGTCTGTGGACTAGGAGCAACTGTCTAAACCACAAAGCCTGGGGGGGTAGTAGGCTCTCCCATCTAGGTTAGTCTAAGTACACTCTATGATGTTTTCACAATGATGAAATCACTTAACAACATATTTCTCAGAACATGTCCCTGTCATTAAGTGATGTGTCACTGTAATCTCAAAGTCAAAAGCTCTAAAAATGTACATGCCTTAAGATATACAGAAAAATGTTATTACTTAGTGATAGGTGACCAATGGCTGCTTTTGGTTTACTTGTCAATTTCTAAATTTTTATAAAATAAATATGTATTACTTTTATAATAAAATAACAAAAGGTAGTAAAAAAAAAAGTAGCACAGAGGCTGGGCACGGTGACTCAAGCCTGTAGTCCCAGCACTTTGGGAGGCTGAGGCGGGTGGATCACGAGGTCAAGAGATCGAGACCATCCTGGTCAACATGGTGAAACCCCAACTCTACTAAAAATACAAAAAATTAGCTGGGCATGGTGGTGTGTGCCTGTAATCCCAGCTACTCAGGAGGCTGAGGCAGAAGAATTGCCTGAACCCGGGAGGCGGAGGTTGCGGTGAGCAGAGATCGCACCATTGCACTCCAGCCTGGGTAACAAGAGCAAAACTCCGTCTCAAAAAAAGAAAAAGTAGCACAGAAAAAAAAGTTACTTTTCTTCAATCTAGTAATTTTAAGAATGTACTCCTAAGGAAATAATCCAAAAGAATATTAATCACAGTGTTATTTATAACAGCAAAAACTAGAAACATTCAGGCCGGGCACAGTGGCTCACACCTGTAATCCCAGCACTTTGGGAGGCTGAGGCGGGCAGATCACCAGGTTAAGAGATCCAGACCATCCTGGCCAACATGGTGAAACCCTGTCTCTATTAAAAAAAAAAACAACTGGAAACATTCTAGCTGCAACAATGTTAGCAGGTGTGATGTACACTGTGGTCTAGTGATTAACACAGGATGAAAGATTTTGCAGCTCGCATTTGTGTGACTTGGGTGTGACGTTCAAAACTGCATCCCTTTGCCTTCCCTGCTCACAAATCTTACTCCCCAGTAAGGAACTCAGCACCACCATGTCTAGGCTAATGCCTCACCATGGAGCTCCCTTTAGGGACCTAGCCAAACCAGAGTGTTCTGCTTCCCTGCAGGGGGCAATGAGGCTTACTCTGCCTTGTACTTTCATTTTACATCCTCCCCCGCCCCCCAGATCGATCAGAAGTATCATAAAGGAGGCGATGTCTCCATGCCATGGCTGCTGGAAGCCACCGTCCTTTACTGTAGTCCTTCCATGTTCACCTCTGTGTTAAAGTAGCTCTTCTGTGAAGACAGAAATGGGCCCCTTCTCAGCATCTGGCCACACAGCTAATCCCTGTTGGATGCTTGCTATGTGTCAGGCACTGTTCAAGTGTTTTATGGGTACAACTCATCTAACCTAATATCCCCATAATGTAGGTACTGTTATACCCTCTATTTCACTGACAAGGAAACTAAGGCACAGAAGAGTTAAACCGACACAACTAAGTGATAGACTCAGGATCAGAACCCAGGTAGTCTGATCCAGGGTCCATGCTCTTGATCACTAGATTCTCCTGTTGCACAGAAGATACTCAAATAAACAATCATTGATTGGAAGCTGGTAGCAACAGCAGAGTTGAAAGCTGGGGCCTGGGGCAGTCTGAAGTGGAAACATGTACCAAAAAGGAACAAGTCTGAGCGAGGCCTGTGGGCAACAGGACAGATCTCCACAGGGACCAACAAGGTAGTCTTGGCAACTAGGAGTCGGAAATCCCAGTCAGAAAACTAGGCAGCCAAGGAGGGTCCAGAAAAGGCAGGAGCTTTGCTTCCCTCGAGGTGAGCTCAGCTGTGCTCTGGCACGCCCACCAAGGAGGTGGGTAAGACTGAGAGCTTGGCTGGTGGGTGGTGGGCAGGAGAAGAGAAGGGGAGAGCTCCCTGTTATTGATAGGTCGAAACCTTCAAACTGCCTAATGGCCAAGCCAGCATTCTCAGAGCTCAGTCACAGCTCTGTTCAAATGTGCTTTGAACCCAGTAGACTCTGTTATTCATTAGCATATCTTCTAATTTAGGAGGCTGCCAGTCTCATGATGACAAGCAGATAAAAAACCTGTTGGGATTCCTTCCCCAGGTATTTGCCCTTATCTCCTCCCACTGTGGCAGATTTCTTTTACCCCAGGAGGTCACAATTCAAGGGGCAATTAAATAATTTCTAATTTATTTTCAGCATTTCTAGTATAATAGCAAGTTGCCAATATCCATTTTGTACAGGAGAAAACTTTTTTTTTTTTGAGACATTGTTTTGCTCTCGTTACCCAGGCTGGAGTGTAACGGCGCGATCTCGGTTCACTGCAACCTCCGCCTCCTGGGTTCAGGCAGTTCTCCTGCCTCAGCCTCCCAAGTAGCTGGGATTACAGGCACGCGCCACCATGCCCAGCTAATTTTTTTGTATTTTTAGTAGAGACGGGGTTTCACCATGTTGACCAGGATGGTCTCGATCTCTTGACCTCGTGATCCACCCACCTCGGCCTCCCAAAGTGCTGGGATTACAGGCGTGAGCCACCGCGCCCTGCCCAAGAAAACTTTTAAACAGAGTTCCCACATTTCTAACCAACTTTGGAAAGTGGCCCGTTCAAAGCACAGCTGGTTACTATAGAACATGAAAGCAGCCATGTCCACGCCTGGCACAGGTGCAGCTTGCTGTCCAGGCTCTTCTTCTGCACCCCGTCCCATCTGCCTCCACATCCTCCAGGAGACAGTAAGCTACTCCGAGGGCTGCGACCATGTTCTAACCTTGTCTTTGTTCCCCAGTACCTAACAGAGTACTTTGTACCTGGTAGATACTAAAAAACTATGTGGGCAATTAAAAAGATAAATCAAAAGGAATATTTTAAAGTTATAAAAGAATTTTAAAGCTCTTAAATTGTCTTTAGCTTAAAAATGTCTGCCATGTCACTTAAAAAGGGAGTCAAGAGGCTGGGTGTGGTGGCTCACGCCTGTAATCCCAGAACTTTGGGAGGCTGAGGTGGGCAGATCACGAGGTCAAGAGATTGAGACCATCCTGGTCAACATGGTGAGACCCTGTCTCTTAAAATATATATATATGAATCAAGAAGTATTATAAAGCAAAACAAACCATGCTACAATATTATTACTCTTTAATAAATGCGGGCGTTTCTTGAGGAACAGCAGTACTACATTTTCACATTGTAGATAATATAATGGGAACAGTGTCCTGGGCACCCATGGACCTCAGAGGTGACATCTGGATCACTGTGAACAGCTCTGAACTAGCCTAGTGATGCCACACTAAAGGACTGCATATCTCTTCTGTCCCTAGCACTATGCTAGATTTACAAATATGAAAGAAGCAACAGTAAGACATCTGCCTTCTCAACAGTTATAGTCAAGAACACAGGCAGGGAGGAAGAGAAAAAGGAATAAAGAAAGAAAACTGCAAAACAAAATGAATGAAAGCCAGTGGTATTCTGCACCAGGCACCTAGGGAAGAGATAGCTGGAGGAAGAGGAAGGCTATTTGGAGCAAGCTTCTGGAGGGAGTGAGGTGTGTAGGGTTGTGGGGAGCAAATGGAGGCCCAGACTCTAAAGAGGCAAGGCAAGAGGGAAGAGGAAGGATAGGGGTTAGTTGGAAGTGGGGTACACCCACACCAGGCTACCTGACAGAGAACCCAAAGGCAGGGGCACTAAGATCTGATGTAGGAAGCCAGTCGTTCTCACCGGCTGGTCTGAGATCAAACAAAATGAGAAAAAGATGAGATGATTAAATAGGTTTCCACCAAGCTCAACCAAGTCAATGTCAAAGACTGCCCTGTATTGTGAAACTATGTCTTGTCTTTGTCTCGGTGCTAAGATGTTTACATTTATAAAATAATGAAGACAGTAGATGAAAACTGGCTTTTTAAAGAAAATGTCCTTGCTTGGTAAAATAAAAAGGCAGCAGTCTTATTATATCTTATCTTCAAAATATTTTTGGAAATCTTATTGGTCCAGTCATATTTGCTTCATAAGACTGCAGGCTCTTGAGTGGCAAGGTGAAAGCAGCATTTGGGGAAACTCAGTCTGGCAGCAGAGTTTAGGACAGACAGCAAATAGAACAGAAGATTCTGGCCTTAGCAGCAGAGCCTCAGCTCACTGAACAATGAAAACTGAAATAAACTGGGCCTGTCCCAAGAAGCAGTCATGGTTGGAATCTAAGGACCAGCTGCAAGGGTTCCCTTTCCCTAATGCAGGTTTTACTAACGTCAAAGGATTCCACGTATCTTATGTAGCTGTTTGGCTCACATTTGAGTGACGTGGAGTGTGACATGAGGGCAAGGCAAGGACGTGCAGTGTGTCCCATGAATAGAAAGAGGAGAATCCAAGTGCTGCCTAATTATGAGAATAATTACCCAAAAGCCAGGGTCCCAGAGGAGCCAAATCCTGTTCCATCTGTCAAGGCCACTAACTTGAAAAGTTCATATCTCTGAGCGGAAGAAGGGGTGCTGGACGGGGCTCTGCTCTGGAAGTTTCTTATCGATCTCCTGGTCAGCACAGGAACCTGTGTCTCACTTCATGTCACCTGGAGATGCCAGGCACTTAGGTTTAAGTCATCTGGGCACACTTTCAACTTCAACTGGGATGTGAGTTATCTTCCTTTCTCAGACAGCCCAGCAGCAGCTAGCACAGAATCTGTCTTACAGAAATGATCTCCATTAAAAGCAAAAATAGGCTCTGATCAGAATGTTACAGAAGGAGCATTAGACTGCAGAGTCATCTTGATACACAAATCACTTTCAGCCCATCATGGGACTGGGGAGTAGCAGCTGATGGTAGCTCACCCTAGAGAACTTTCTGGAAGTTTGGTGTCTCCCTCCTACCTTTCCATGCCAGCAGGCCAGCATCTCCCTTCCCAGAGTGGCACACTAGGACTCTCTTTGCCATCCTCTGGAGTGCCCCTTCCATCTTGCTCCCATGAAGGAGGACACAGTTTGTCTGAGAAGGCAGCACCGAAGTGCTCAGGATGCCTCAGAAGCACTGCCAGGCCCTGAGGGTGCCAAAGCTTCCTGGCTCCTCACACCTGTTAAGGCAACTCCACCTTGAGAAAGTCCTCATTATACCTTATTCTAAACCCTGGATGCCCCAGCAAATAATCAAACACCCAGCCCTTTCATTCACAAGGAAGGAGAACTGCCCTGGCTCATGATATGTATCTAATCCTCTTATATAAACACGCCTGTCTTCTAGCGCTACAATCCACTCTCTTGAACACAGTTCCCATCATCTTTTTAAAAAGATCAATATGTATAGTGATGTTTAAAGATCTTGAAATGCCTGGTTAAAAATGAGCACTGGGCAGGGGCTGGGGATACAAAGCTGGAGAAGATGTTGTCTTTACCCTTAAGGAACTTGGAGACAGGGAAGCAAACAGCAAATGGCAAGACAATGTGACAGGGTGATAAAGACAGGTAACACGTATAAAGAATCAGGGGAACCCTAGGAAGGAGGGGTGGATGGGCTGGCCCTGCCTAGGAAAAACAAATGCAAACTACTCTGCAGCAGGATCTGGAGTTTCAATCTTCAGCTTCAAAAGGTGAACCAAGAAGGTCACAGGATTGAAGGTGGAGGAGTAGGGTAGGGGTAGGACTTTCTTCATCTATAAGAAATGAGCCTGGATATAGGCAAGCAGAAAGAACCAGAAGGCAAGTGAAATGCTTCTAGAAGTGGGGTGGGAGTCAATTTTGCTTTCAGAGTTCTTGTGAGGATCTGCACTGCTGTTCTCAAGAGCCACTGGTCCTTAACAGCAGACCCTGCACTGGAAGGGCATCTTGTAGCGAGGGTCACATCAGGGCTGTCCTCCATCAGAGTGCCCAGTCTGATGGAGGGCATGGTTCTCTCTGCATCTGGCTACTTTCTGCTCCCACAAATCACTCCAATCAGTTTCTTTTTACATTACTTCTGGGCTGTTCTGCTAGATTGCCTTCTAACCCAAACTGTATCAGTAATAGATGAAATATTTCAATCTCAGTCTGATATGTGTGACTATTTCTCAGTGGGTTCAGCACTCAGAGGAGAGAGGAATGAGGGGATACATCTCTTACCTCTCACAGGGTGGGTACTCCATATCTTTCAGCTCCTTTTCCCTTTTCTCACAGTGTGGCTCATGGCTTCACCCCCCAAACTGGCCTTCTTTCTCTAATACCACTGCACTGAATAACCATCGGATTTGCAATTCTGTCAGCCCTGTCTCAAGTGACTGTGCTCTTGCTTTTATCTTATTGGTGTTTTTTAAAGTACATACAGTTCTTCTCAAATTGTTGAAGCAGCTTGAGGGTAGAGAGTTTGTGTTCCGCTGCCTACAGCTCCTTCACAGAACAGCGAGCAGTATTTGTAACAGACAGGAACTCAGGAAGCGTCCTTCTTTGCAGGTCACATATCACCTCTGAGTCTGTATTTTTAATACCTTCCAGAATACTGCAACCTGTATTCCTTGTAATTTTTGAAAATTATGAGGAAATGACTAGGTGATTTGACTTGCCTAGAGGGAGACTGAGCACATGAACAGGACAGGGTTATAATAACGAGCTGCTCAACGGAATTAATCTGACACTTAATGACGCATATTAGTTTTTATGCATTTGTTAACAAACTAGAAATGGTGACCAGCTCACATAAGGGGCTAAAATTAGCGTTGCTTATATTTAACTCGGCCAACTTTTCTCGTGTGTCTCTTCTTCATGCCTTGGGATGCACAAACATGGATTGCCTTCCTCGATTCCATAAAGTATACTAACTCTATCAATCTCTGTCTTTCTTTTTCTCTCTCTAAAGGGAGACTCCAATACCTGCGATGACGGAAATTCATGCTCCCAGGTTCTCCCTGAAGCTCAGGAATGCAGCTTCTTCCATCCCTTGCTGCTTCCTCCACCCACTCTCTTCCACGGAGGCCGTCCTAGATAGCCTGGATGCTGAACAGCTAGGAGAGTACACATTCTTAGCTGTGGATCTACTTTATAAATGAGATGAATAAATTTAAATGACATTTTGCTAATATTATTATTATAAAAGTGGTAACTGGGAAAATGTAGGAGTCTAATATTCTTCAAGCCTTGCTGATTCTAGTTCTCCATGGTTGAAGTAATATGCCGTCGATATTTAAATGGAAGCCTTGAACTTCTAGCAGAAGCCTTCCCACTTCCCATACTGTTTATTACTCTCAAGAGAAGTGTAGCAATTCTTATGGGAGCACAGATTATATAGAGCGATTCTGTTTTCAATTGGATTTCCTTATAATTATTCATGTCAGACCAACCCAAACGATGCCTGAGAGCTAATATACACAGGAGGTAAGAGAAAAAAGAAAGACTAGTGAAGTTACAACCGTTCTCTGAGGATCTGAGAATGCAACTATAGTTCTCAGCACCATTTCAAACACAATGGGATTCTCTTTCTTTCTTTTTATCATTATTATTTTTAATCACAATTGGATTCTTTAAGGATTCTAATGAGAACAAAGTTTGGGGCAGGGATCATTCCCCAGTCTCAACATTAGCAAGAGTTTAGCAAGATACTTTCAACTACCTCTTTCAGTTTTAAATTTTAGGACTCTTGTCAGTCTTTTTTATAATAAATAACACAATGAGAAATGTCTGTGACATACTGAGCTCTTTGTAGAGAAGAGCTCGTGAAAATAAGACAAACAAAATATGAAAGATGAAGGAATAATCTAAGACCACAACCACTGGGATATTTCAGAGACCTGGACGCCTTAGAGAGAAAGAGAGAGAGACAGAGAGACAGACACACACATCCATGTAGGCAGAGAACTCCTGACAGATGTTTCCATCTAAAGTACCCTGATTCCCATGCTACTGAAAGAGCATAAATTGGTACAGCCTCTCTGGAAGGAAAGTGGCAATATGTTTCAGGTTTCTTAAATACATCCATACCCCTGACCCTGTCATCACAGTTCTAAGACTATCGTAAGAAAATAATCAGAGATCAGGTCAACGATTTGTGAACACAGATGGCCATGGTACTATTATCTGTAGTTCCAAAAAACATCAGACTGTAATCTAAATATTCAAAATTGGGGAGTGGCTGAATGTTTTAAGAGTATATTCATATGACAGAATATTATGTAGACATTATAATGTTTTAGAAGATTTTTTAATGACATGGGAAAAATTCATTATGTAATATTAAAGAGCAGAATATAAAAACTATACATATGCTAGCCACCACCCTTCCCTTCTGCTATGAAATGGTAAAATAAACAAAATAATGCACAAGTAATTATACCAAAATATTAACCATGGTTATTTCTGGGTAATGCAACTACAGGTGATTATGATTTCTTTTTTATATTCTTAAATTTTCTAACATGAGAACATATTACTTTTATGATAAAGCTCCCTTTCTAAAGGAAGAAAACGGGATCAGAGGGGCCTACTCATGGAAATCATCATCTCTCTTCTCGACCTCCTCCCCGCTGGTATTCCCTGGTGGTACACAGTACTACCATGTGCCTAAACTGGAAATCTTATTGCCTGATCTCTCACCTCTGATCCTGCCTCTCCCTTCCCCAGCTAATCAAGAGAGTCAATTTGCCACAGGCTTGTCGATTTTCCCTCCTCTCATGGATCTGTAATTTTCTCTCACCCCATGGTCCCTATCTCAGGTCAGGCCCTCATCATTTCTCTCCTGGATCATAAACATCCTTTATTTTGTTCACTTACAGAGGCTCTTTCTAAAACCCAGTTCTGATCATGTCACTTCCATATTTAAAATCATTCCACAGCTGCCCTGGCTCATTCCTACAGACTCCAAGGCCTAGCCTGCTTCTCCTTCTCTAGCTCTTCTCTCTCTCTGCACCCTACACCACACACCCTGGAATAATCTGCTATTTCTCACCCCTCCCATGCCTTCACTAGCCAATTGCTTGCCTTTGCAGCCTGGCTAGACCCTCAAGTCTTTTAGAAGGCCTAGTGCCCCACTACCTCTGCTGGAAAATCTTTCCTGAACCCCTGAGACTGAGCTGGTCCTCTGCAAGACAGCTCACTGCACTCTGGGCAGAGTTCTGTCACATTACTTTACATTTTCTGTGTGGCCTGCTGGCTCTCTCATTATTTTCCTATATTATTTATAGAAAAGCTCTATGACTAAGAAAACAGAATGATTCTACAAACACTCAAGCCCGTGATCAATAGCTTCCTTAAGTGACAACATAAATAATAAGACCAAGGAAGAACCAGACCGGATAAATGTATCCATCCTTCTTACCTTGGATCAAATATATTGTACAGAAATTAAACAGCAGAGCCAGCATGCTAATTTCTTAAAAGCGACTGTACTGGAGAGAAGGAACAGAAACGGATTCAATAAAGCATACTGCTACACTTGGCAGTGGGGACAGTGTCGGGGAGAAGTGCCACAGTTTCCTTAGAGCCACATTTTGCCATGAGCAGTCCCCACCCTCAGCACACCTACAAGTGGTAGAGTCAGCATCTCTGCATGTGGGCTTGGGTGGGCTGGAGACCTGACTGAAGAGCTGCTGAGCTTGTAGAAGTGGGAAATGAGAAGCTCTGCTCCTTTTGCTTCAGACTAATTAAAGCGACTTGACTGTAAATGGAGTAAGGGAACTGATGCTAAACTGATTCATTCCTCTACTCCCTGCCTCCAATTGGACGGGATAAGCATGGTACTAATCAAAGGAATAATTTACCTAATTGCATGAAACCATCCTGAGAGTTCATTTAGCACAACTGTTCTCCATTACCCAGCCTGGCTTCCCTGTGACGTGATGATGGGCTGCTAAAAGCTTGCTGGGGAGCAGGGCGGAAGTGCTTGCTGGCTGGGCGAGCAGGGGTCAGCAAAGTACGGACCACTGGCCAAACCTGATTTTGTATGACCCCAAGCTAAGATTGGTTTATACATTTTTATATGGCTGAAAAAATAATCAAAGAAAGAATAATATTTCGTGATATGTGAAAATTATATAAAACTCAAATCTCGGTGTTCTTAAAGTTCTGTTGGAACATTGCCACACTTCTCTATTTAAAGCAATGCTGGTGCATTCACACTACAACAGCAGAGCTGAGTAGCAGAGACCGAGACTGTATGGCCCACAAAACCTGAACTATTTACTCTCTGGCCTTTTACAGAAAAAATCTGCCAATCCCTGACTTAAAGGCTGGGCCAGGTCAAGGTCATACAGAACATCATTCCAGTGCAGCTTGGGTCCCAGGGTATTTAAAAATAATTTTCATTAACAAGGCTATCTTGACAATCAAGTGCACTCAAAGAAACTGCCTGCAGTTTGGGTTTCAAAACTGTGCCAAGTAGGATTCATATAAGATGCAGTTGTGAATTTAGTCAAGGCTCAAGTTGACAGTAATTTGTCTGAAAGGATGGAAACATCGGGTTTTCCCACCACTATTTCAACTTCTGAATTCCCGAAGTCCACTGACCCAGAAGGAACTGCTCACATCCCCTAACCACCTGTCAGGGAAGAGCTTCCTGCAAGCCTCATGCTTATTTTGAATAGAAGCCCTCAAACAGAGTGGCTTCTATGTACCGCCACCTGACTGAAGAGGAAGAGGCTGGAGGGAGAGCCCCAGCCAGCAGTAGGTGTAGCTTCCTAAAATCAATCAGTATTCCCAAGACACTTTTATATTTGGATTCTTCTGGCACCTGTCACCCTCCTTTGGTATCTTTTCTGAATGCAATGGCTAAGAAGCCTGAGGCCTTGTCTTCACATCATAGTCAGGCAGTCTCTGTAAAGGGCCTAATTGGGAAGGTACCTGAGAACCGGCTTTGTGTCCCAATAAACAGAAGTGCCAGGGGACTCTGTGCCCCCTACCTGCAAAGTCTATTAGTTGGGCCTGAATCACTAAGCAAGAACCAGGCAGAGAGCAAACTTCCCACAATTCCCCTCTCCCAAAGCTCAAGATTCGGATATGATTACAAACCATTATGATTCCTTTTACTACAAACACAAAAAAGTCTGGGCCCCTGTTACTGGAGCTCCCTTTTCAGAAATGAGAGACACATGTTAAATAAGTAAAATAAAACAAACATCTATGTTAAGTCCTAGAATTAGCCGTAGAAAACATGGAGATGGAAGAAGCCACCTGGAAGGGGTATTACTTAACCCATCCAACCAAAAAGCACAAGACTGCATCTGGCATCTGCATTTGCTTTTTAAGCAGTGAAAAAAGGAGTCATTTTATGTAATTGAACCTCTTTAGAACTAGGTTGAACTGTAGGTAAAGGAGACATTTGGAGCAGGTAATCCTACCCAGAAGGCAGTGCTTCCCACCACAGTTCTAGTATATGAAGGCTAGTATAGGACAGCACATACTGCTAGTAGGTGGGCCTCATGGAACTGAGGGCAGACTAGGTGGCCCTGAGGCCTGAGGCTCACTATCTCAGACATGGGCTAGGCAGCTCTGGTCTAAGCTGCCAACTGCAAATACACAGTGGTCAAGTTGCTCTACAGATCTGAGGTTGGGACTTCTGACTAGTAGGCCCCTAACTCAACCAACAGTCACCATACTAATGCCACACACTCAGCCCCCATTCATTCCAAAGGTCACCATAGTAAACTGACTTCTTGGAAAGGTGAAAGTTGTGGTTTACACACTTATTCTGAACCTTAGGGCATGATGCATAAATAAATGATACCCTCTTGCACAGACTCATCTCTAATTGAGGCTAGCCTAAATGGACCTTTTTTTTTTTAAGGACTGCCACCAAAAGCACGGACATAGTGGACCAAGGCAAACAAAGCATCAGAGAACAACTCCAAACAGTAGGCTACTCAAAAAAGCACCAAGGAAAAATGGATTTTTGTGAGGGCAAAGCAAGCAGTAGGGACAGGAGAACAAATGCAGTGACTTCTGAATAGGGCCATTTAGCTGATTTATAAATGACCTCACCAGAGTCCTTTGCTGTGGGAGATTGATGTGCTCCTCCTTCCAAAGCTGGGGTCCATGGACTTGTTTTCGGGGGAACCAGGGAATCGACTTCAAGGGTGCAAAGCCCTTATTTTCAAACCTTAATTAACTGGAACCTAATTAGGACTTTGGAGGGGTTCTTTTTTCCACTTAAAAGGAAAATTTTTTTCTCAAGTCAGCATGGTGTAAATGGATGCAAAGTGAGCACAGGGCAATTTGGATTTCTTGTATATAAGCAACTCTTTTAACCTTTAGCTTTCTAACTGATAAATTGAGAGGGCCAATGAGAGACACATACCCAAAGTCATTTTCAGCAATAAAACTCTGATTCTGAGATATGCCAACAGATCTTTATTTATCAATAATCTGAGATCATTCTTCTATTTTGACAACTATACCCCATCCTCATATGAACTGGGATCACCTGACAGTCTTTTATAGTTTTTAGAGTATTTCATATATTTAATTCAACTGAACGTTGCAACAAACTGGTGGGGCGAGGTCTCTAAAATGTAATGACAGAAACTCTCTCCTGTGATGTGCTTCAGCAGACACTGGTTGGTTACTCTGGAAGTCAGAAAAAGAAGGGAATCACACAGAAGAGATAAACCCATCACTAAATGTTCTAATTTATATAGATGTATATTCATTTGCTAATTTTTTTTTTTAGTGTAAGGTTTTCAAAAAAGGAGAGTGCTTACTGGATTTCTACACAGTCTTTTCTGAATAAACTACACTCGCAATTCACTGTCTATACTTTATCATTTGGTTTCTTCAAAAAAGAATGAGAATTTAGACATTTACGAAGCAATGTGAATACAGAATGCTTACTGGATTCCACAATTACCCCATTTTACAACTGAATTTTTAAAGACTTACCCTTATCCAGGTCTTTCCAAAACATTTAACTTAGTTTTTTATAAAAACAACAGCTTCTTTTTTATGTTCGTATTTGATGGGTTTACCTGATACAGAGTTAAACTGCATAATTACAACACGTACAACTGGCCTCGCCAGGTTTGAGAACCTGGGCGGGGGGCGAGGGAGAAGGCAGTACTAGACAGCCAGTGCCACCTGCTGTGGTCATTGATCACTGAATTTGACAGAGGGAAGGACGGGCATGGCTGAGATGATTGCAGGGCTGGACTAGAGCTGAGGGAGGAAGGTCAGGGACAGAGAGACAGATTTTGGCTCATTAGCACCCAGTTAGTAGTTAGAATCACAAGAGTAGAGGAGGTCATTCAGGGTAGGAGTATGGATAGAGAAAGGACAAAGGTGAGATAGATCCAGGGAATGCCTACCCTAAAGTGGTGGGCAAAAGAGGCTTCTGCAAAGGGGGCCAGCATGACATTGCTGGAGATGTACAAAGAGAAACAGAACCAGGGGGTGGGTTTCAAAGGGCCTGGTGCAGGTCAGAAGTCTAAGAAGCAAGAACTATAAGGTGTCCTTGGCCTTGACAATCAGGCAGCCACCAGTAAGTGAGAATCCGAGTATGTTCACACTCCCATGAACGATTTCTTGAAGTAGGTATTCTGTAATCCCCTATGCCTTTAGTTTCTCTTCCACCATGTCTGCTGTCTTCTTCAGTGTCCGCTCTGCCTCCTATCTATCTCCCTGCCAGCATTCTCATGCAGATAGGCCTGCTCAGGCTGCCTAAGCCCAGGCCAGGGAAGGAGGAGCAGGAGAACTCCAGAGGCTACCCTGACTCTGACACACAGAGACAGGACAGGTCATCCACTGGTTCCAAGAGCAGCCACTTCTACCTAAGCCCAGAGCAGCACCTATTTGCAATGCCTGCTAAGAAGCATTTGTGCAAGTCTGTTGCAATAGGAAGGATAAAATCAGAACTGTAATCAGAAGGCTTTACAACCAGGCCCTTCGGATTTCTCCCAGCTGACAGGCTCAGGGAAAGAAGTCTGCATGAGGTGGTCTGGTGAACAGCCCCACTCTCCTACCCACCTCATTTTTCAGACACATGGCAACTTCCCAGAGCACACAACAAGCAGGGAAGGAGAGTGTGAGTAAGAAATATAAATGAAAGAGGAAAAAACGTCGATAATACAAAACACAGTCTCTGCTCTGTAAGGTACTGACAAGCAATAAAAAAGAAATCTTGGTTCCTAACAGTCGCTGACTCTCAGACATGGACATTCAACCAGGTTTCAGTGACAGCTGCCTAAGTCCCAGAGGGCTGCCAGCATGGCTGTGATAGTTCAGACTTATCAATGTCAATCCAGGCCAATGTGTTTTTTAGTAGCCAGTGTTCTATAGCAGGAGTCCCCAACAGCCCGTCCATGGCCCGTTAGGAATGGAGCCGCACCACAGGAGGTGAGCAGCAGGTGAGCATGACCACCTGAGCTCTACCTCTTGTCAGATAAGTGGTGGCATTAGATTCTCATAGGAACTCAAACTTGATTGTGAACTGCTCATGCAAGGGATCTAGGTTGCACGCTCCTTATAAAAATCTAACTAATGCCTGATGATCTGAGGTGGAAGTTTCATCCCAAAACCATCCCCCACCCCCAATCTGTGGAAAAATCATCTTCCATGAAATCAGTCCCTGGTGTCCGAAACAATGGGGACTGCTGTTCTACTGTAAACAAGTAACTCTTTCTGTAAGATGAGGAATAAGAATAAATACTATTTTTTCCCAAGCCTTCAGATCAGACACTGGTCAGCTGCCTCCTAAATTTCCATGTCTCCTATTCTTGCCTCCATTAAAGAACAGGTTTGAATAGAAACTGAGGTAAGGATCACAGACTGGACATAGCCTTATCAGGGAAGACCAGCTGGGGGTTTTGGACAGAGCCACCCACACGGACCCACTGTACTTGGAGAGTGAATGGGAGTTAGTTCCTGCTGGCCTCAGAGAACACGATTTTAATGTAGTGACTGGTGCAAGGGGAAGGAGGGAGGAGTCTAAGCCTGCCATGCTGCCTGCAACCACGCTGGGTTCAGGCACGAGTCAAATCCGTTGGCTGCACTGAAAAAAAAAATGTACTGACCTGATCCAAACGAAGTGCGCCGTCCTCAAAGCGTTGCTGGCGTAATCGCTTGGCAATTCCATGGAGATTCAAGACGGCCTGGTGTACCTCCTCGCTGCTATGCTCTGGGGAAATGGGAGGCAGCTCTGTCACAGGGATTTTCTCAGTGGGGCTTTCAATCATGCTCTGCGCATGCTCGTAGCTAAGTTTGGTGCAGGAGCGGATGATGGTCCGGCCAAACCATTCATCAAGGATCTGCAAAGATCGACAGTCTGTGAGGGAACTGTGAAGAGAATTTTTTTCAGGATTTTCTTCCTTCAACCATTCATCCATACACATTCAACAAAGATTTATTGAGCACTGCTCAGAATGGTGGCAGGTTCAGGCTAGGCACCCAGATGAATCAGAGATGGAAGCTGCTGCCCTCAGGGAGCTTAGTCTCCACCTGGCATGGAATTAATCTAACAGGCACTGGACACCTATGGATGATCCCCAAGCACACTGGTGGCATAGGCGAGGCATGCTGGAGGTTTTTCCATTAGTTTTGGTGAATGGGCATCAATCTCAACACTGAGGGGAGTAGAGGAAAGAGCTGCCGACAACATGGTAGACAGGTACTCTGTGGGTTTGGGAGCAGCTCGGATGCAGGGGAATGGAGAAGGGGAAGGCAGGGCCACTGATAGAAAGAGGGAACACATGTGGAAAAGCAGGATAGGGCTGGAAATAGAAAACCCATTTCCACTGTTTCATTTGGCACACATATGTAGAGACAGAAGTCTAGAACAGGCTTCTCAATCTTGGCACTGTTGGGCTAAACAATTTCTTGTTGGGCGGGGGCTGAAGTGTGCATTATAAAATGTTCAGCAGTATCCCTGGCCTCTATCCACTGGATGTCAGGGGCACCTCTCCCCTATACCCTCAAGCTGATAATCAAAAATGGCTCCAGGCATTGCCAAATGTCTTCTGGGGGAAAGCAGGCACAGGATGAGAACCACTGGGCTTGAAGGAGATATACCCAAGTTTAGTGGTGGTGCCAGCTGAATGATGGGATTACCACTGAAGTGTGTTTTATTATTTTCACTTTTCTGTATTTTTGTATAATAAATATGTATTACTTATAAAACAAAAAGTGAACATTAAAACATTTTGGGCACTCTTGGGTCTGAGGTGCAGGGAGAGATGCAGGCAAGGTGATCTGGCAGGTATTTGGGTGTGGGCCTGGCCATCTGGACAAAGAGGGGTCTACGGAGGAAACAGTGGTCAGGAGAGGCAGGGCTGCTTGACCTAACACACCTCCTTCATGTTAAGGAGCAAAAAGAGAAGCCAGGGCATGAAACAGTAGAAAAACAAGAGAGTTGAGAGAGACAGGACAAAAACCAGGAGGGTCCAATGTTAGAAAAAGCAGGAGAAAAGAGCTTTAAGAAAGGGGACTCGAAGGCAACAAGGGACACTCTGACAGCACTTACCATGAGACAGGCATTGTTCACACTCTCCATATGGCAACTATTTAATTCTCATAACAACTCTATGAGGTAGGAATTTTGCTATCCTCTTCTTCAGATGAGGAAACTAAGGCACAGAGAAATTAAGGAATTTGCCCAAGGTTACACTGCTAGAGACTGGCAAGGCTGGGAACTGAACCCAAGCAGTCCAGCCCTAGAACCTCGGCTCTACACCACAAGTATACGTCTAATACCGCTTGGTTGTCAGGGAGGAGAAAACAAAGACAAACTCCTGGCATTGAGCATTTGTTGGCTATTTTAGGAAAATGCCAGAGCGAGGCAGAGTCACACTGCAAAGAGTAAAAGCATGTACTGCTAATGGGTCCAGAGATGCTGAAAGAAGGGCTCCAGCCTTCACACTCCCAGGGCAGCCAGAGCTTTGGCCTCCTGTCAGCTCATGCACATGCCCCCTGTGCCACTCAAACAGCAACATCTGCTGTGTGTGACATGATGTGAAAAAGCCTAGAAAGCACCGGGCTAAGGATAGGTGAAGGCTGGAAGTGGATGCAATGCAACCAGTGTGGCTGACGACTTCCAAAAGGACGGAAGGGAAGGAGCAGAATGGAGGGCTGTGTGGCATTTGCAGGAGAGAAAGACTGAACCATCACTGACGAAAGATTGAAGACACAAGAGAACAAAAGAGATCCTAGTCCAAGTGAAGGCCATCCATCCAGGACAGAGGAGGAGTGCCCTGGTAGGGAGGAAGGAAGGAAGGAAGGAAAGGGGAGGAGACCTGAGGGGAAGAAGAGGGAAGCTGAGAGCATGACTATCACAGAGCCCCAATCTATGTAGACAAGCATAAGGCAAAGAACAAGGGAGGCTAGGTGGGCTCGAGGGCCTGAGGAAAATGGAAAAGCTCAGATATAAATGCTGTGGAAGTATATTTCCTGTGTGAGAAAAGGGAGGGAGTGCCAGTCAGGAGTAGAACCTTTTAGCCTGGGCTTGCAGACATCCCCCTTGCCTTGCTCTTCACCAACGTTCTGTTCACAACCGCTGACATAATGCTTTCTGAAAAAGCCAACTGAAGGGTCTGTAGGCACTCCCCATGGGGAAGGACCGAGCCCAACCCAGGAGCTGTTCACACCACAAAGCCTCCAGGAAATACAGCTTCTACCCTGGAAGGCTGGAGAGACCACTTTGGTATTGTCCACTTTCCCTTAAAGGAAGAATCAATACTCTTGAAAAATGGCAGCCATGTGTTAGAGGACGAGAATGGCGGCAACTACTCACATTTTTGTCTAGAGCAGGGTCTTACGAAGGATCTTGAATCAGTAATCACTGACTTTAACTTTTCTTTAAAAAGAATCCTGAAACTATTCTTTCTATATACCAAGAACTACTACTATCCAAAGATATAAGGGATTCGAATAACCTAGCTAATTTTCCATTGTGGCAAGCACGTCTTGAATTTGGCTCTTAGGAGGCATGTGTGTGTGCTGCAGGCAAAGGCAACTGCAGAGCGGATTCCAGCTACCACCCGACAGTCCCAGCGGGGAGTGCCACATTCAGTTCTCCACAAGAGTCTAAAGAGCCCCTTTTAGGCTCAGCCAGGCTTGTCCTCCTCGTACATCCACATTTCCTGAAGAGCTGCTCCAGCCTCCTCTGAAACGACAGGGCCATGACCTCTTCATTCTTGTGGTCTCAAGGGTTTCCCCTGGTGATTTAGCTTGCTTCCTTTTCTACATTTCATTCCAAACCCAGTCACTCCTCCTGTGGGTCTACATCGGGCCGCACAGTCTGCCTTCGGCATGCTCAGGGAATGTCAGTTTCAGTTCTATGCCACTGCTCTCTTTCACATTTCACAAGTGGTCTAGAGGTTCCCTCCAGCATCCAGCATCCAGCATCCAGGTCACAGGGTGTGCAGCCTCCCAGCGTCTGTGGTCTTTTTCCCTAGTGAATGTTCCAGCACAGGGCAACCAGTGTACCCTGATAGGGCATCTGCTTTCACAAAAACCATGGGTCAAGAACTGCTTTAAAAATCTAGTGAATGTTGGCCAAGCACGGTGGCTCATGGCTGTAATCCCAGCACTTGGGAAGTCAAGGCGGATGGACTGCTTGAGGTCAGGAGTTTGCAACCAGCCTAGCCAACATGGTGAAACCCCATCTCTACAAAAAATACAAAAATTAGTGGGGCATGGTGGTGTGCATCTGTAATCCCAACGACTCAGAAAGGTGAGCTACAAGAATTGCTTGAGCCTGGGAGGTGGAAGTTGCAGTGAGCCAAGATCCATTGCACTCCAGCTTGGGTGACAGAGTGAGACTCCGTCTCAACAAAACAAAACAAAATGAACGTAGTGAAAGATCCAGTCCCTCCTCCCTGAAATATTTATGTATAAAACTTAGCAGCAAGCTCCACACGGCTCCCAGACACCCCTGCACCCTGCGTGCCCATGTCTCCTGGCTGTAAGCACATCCCTAGCTCTCTCTCACCCCTCTGACTGCTGAGCCCTGACCAGGAGCCACTTGGAATCCTGAGGTATTCCTAAAACTGATTACCTGAAACCTGCCCAAAGCAGCAGACTGTCACTCTTTACCAAAGCCTGCTCATCGCCCACACTGGCACTGGCTATCAGTTCGTTTGAGCTCCTTTTTTTTTCCTTAATGGGCACCTCTACTTTGTTTCCTTCTCAGTCAAAATAGATCCCTTCCTAACAGCACACAGGAACACCACCAAATTTGAGACTGCAGTACTGATGACCACTTTCCCAGAGCTCTTTTGCTTCACTTCAGTCCCCTTCCTTAACGCCTGCAACCCCAAAAGTCCACCCCAACCTTCTCTTTAAATACACAATGGGCTGAAGTAGAAGCTTGAAGAGCCGTCAGGAACTTCCTGCTCAGGGACAGGGACCTCTGGCAGCTGAATCTACTCTGCCTTAACAGAATCCAGTGCTTCTGGGAGTCATACCTGTCATTAAAAAATTATTAGGTCAGGGAAAGCAGGCCTGAAACCATTTTCTGCAGAAGTCAAGCAGAAAAGAAAGGAACCTGTTGTCGCCTGACACAGAGAAAAGCAGCAAGAAAGTAAAGATCCAAATGGAGGGGTTCCTGGGAACAGCCAGCCTCACAGTATGGAAGGCAGGCCTCTCTGGATGGAACACCTCATTACTTTCCAATTGGAAACTGGATTCATATCAACGCCCAGTGCACAACCAAAGCCAGTGGCAGAAGACAAAAGGACAGAGTTTTTCATGGAAAAAGTAGAAATACCACAGGGAGCTTCCGAAACAAAACCCTTCATAAAGAAAATCATGTCCTTCCTCTTTCCTTTCTTAATCATAGGATTTGGGTGACTCTTCTATAGCCGGGCGAGTTTACTGCACATATTCTGGAATACTACTGTTCAGAATGTCAGATTAAACACAGTGCCAACGCCGAATGAAGGCACATTACTGGGGAAAAAAAACTACTGAAAAAGGAGGACATGATTATCTATGACAACATTGTAATTCAAGGCCTACCTATTGTACCAAGTACGACTGGAAGCAGTCTAACCCTGGGAGTATTCTTATACCTACTATTTCTAAAATCTCCCCAACACATCTGGGAGGAGTACATTGTTAGCCCATTGCACAGTTGAGAAAACAGACCAGGAACTTGTCAAAAGTCATACAAACTCCTACCTGGCAGCCAAGACCAGATCCAGTTAAAGACACACTCAAAATCTAGTGTTACTTTTATTACATTCCAGGTGAAGGTCATAAGTTAGACAGAGGCAGATGATGAAGTAAAATAAACCAATTATGTCTCAAACAC